TCTCCCGGGCCCCGGGAGCCCGGGGAGCCCCGAGATGGCGTTGGCGGAAGTGAAGCCCCGCGCGGAGGGAAAGGGCCTCTCTGTCCCCGCGCCCAGTGCGCTCGCTCGTTAAACAACTACCTGGCGTTTCCCCCACATCAGCTCCTCAGGGCGCACGGTGCCGGAGTACGCCGCCGAGACAAAATAGCTTTCTTTTGGCAGCGATTTTTACAGGTTTGATGTACAATTTACATGTCGTAAAATGTCCCCTGTTTAAAGGTGCAGATCAGGGTCTGACAAATTCTACACCCGTGGAACCACTACCCTGACGCGTAGCCTGTTTCCATCACTCCAGAAAGTTCCTTCGTGTCCCTTCCAGACGATCCACACGCCCCCCCCCCCACTCCCTTGATTTCTAGCATAGCTTAGTTTTGCCTGTTTGAGAACTTCATAAAATGGGATCATTCAGTAAGTACTCCGGTTTCTAATATTACATTTTAAATGGTCGTCGTTGACAAAGTATCTCTTGGTGCTTTCTGATGTTTTTAGTTGCTTTAGGCCTGCAGTGCCTTGTGGCAGCCACTCGCCACTAAGAGGCTCTTGAGCACTGGAAATGTGTCGGGTCCCAGTTAAGATGTGCTGTGAGTAGACACACCTAATCTCCGAAGACTTAGAGAGAGAGAGAGAGAGAGAATATGAATGTAGAATATCTCACTAATAAATTCTTATAGTGATTATGTGATGAAATGAAAGTTCTGTGGGTACATTGGATACATAAGATGATTAAAATTAACTTCATCTTTCTTTTTTAATATGGCTACTAGAGAATTCAAAATCACACAGACAGCTTGTGTAATGTTTGTATTGGACAGCAGACAGGGCAGCCCTACACATTCCATTTTACAGACAGTTGGTTCTGCTTACTGCATATGAGAGTATATGAAAACTTGTCTTCATTCGAGAGAAAAAACATCTGGATTCAAGGAAGTAGCCCGAAGACCCTGCCTTTTCCTGCTGTTTTAAAACTTTGCTTCAAACTTTCTTGTTTACTTAAAAGAGGTAAAAAGGACTGGATGTATCTTTGGCATTAAGTGACATTTTCAAAGACTTTGTAAAATATCTAATGTGCTTTAAAAAGGTATCTTGTGCTTTTGAAAATATCGAAAACTAGTAATTGCCTACACCCCAACCACCTAAATATATTAAAATTCAGCATTTTAGTGCGCTTTTGACCAGTCTTAATTAAAAAATAAACATAGGTGAGATGATATTATGTCCAATTTTATATCCTACTCTGTTCATATCGCATAAGCATATCTTATACGGAAAATGCTTAGACTTTTTGACAACCACATAATGTGACTTCACATGAATACACTCCAGTTTTCTATGGCATTTTGGGGGGTTTGTTTTTGATTTTGCTAACTTTTACAAATCAGAAGTCCTTTTAATAGCATGACAGTACCCTAATAAGATACAATTACAGCACCGCTTATTTGCCCCTTAATTGCACAGGAAAGGTGAAGTCCAAGTGGGCAGGGAACTTGACTTTTTGTTCACACCCATATCCCTGGACCATGGAACATGTCTGGCATATATAATATACATTCTGTAAACATTTGTTTTTTTTAATTAAATCTTTATTGTTCAGATT